AACTTGTTAAGGATAATATCAATTCTATTGCACACCAATATAGTAGGAAGCAATGTTTGAAATGAGTAGACAGGGAGAGAAGAGATAACACTTCTAATAAGTGTAAGTCTACCCCCAAAACTCAAAAAACTAGTCCCAAGATTGCAGTTTATTTTTAATTGAAGTAATTAAATAATCAAATAAAAAAGATTTCTTTCTACATTTAAATAAGGGGATGCTAAGATACTTAATAGGTAAATGACCATGCATGAATCCAGTAAGATCATTAATAGCCAAGATTCGATCAGTATGCTTATTATTCTAAACAAGGAAACATCATTTATGATTGTTTAAAGACAATCCACTAACAGATTTAAAATAATGAAAGAAATCCATCAGTTTATTAATGTTATTACGAGAAGCATTCTTAAAAATGAAAAAATTATGGGCAAAACACATATGAGATATAGGAAATTCATCACTAGTTTGATAATATAAACTAGGTTGATTTTCAAACATGTTAGCAATGCTTCTAGAAAGATAATAAATAGCAATAATAAATAGGGCAGGGGACATAGTGTCACATTGCCTTAAACCATGAGAGGATTTAAAGAAACCACAGCTCTTACCATTGATAATCTAAGAGAGAAAAGACCCTTCAATGCAATTTTTAATAAGATTGATAAAAATTAAGTTCAAACAAAATACATGCAATATGTTATAGATGAATTGCCAACTAACATTATCATAGGCTTTGGAAATATCCAGCTTTAGAATAGAATTACTACTCCCAACATTGACATCCAAATCACGGAAAAATTCCCGAGCCAGCAAAATATTATCAGAGATGGTATGCCCTTTAACAAATCTCATTTGAAAAGGAGAAATAATCTTAGGAAGAACATTAGTTAAATGAGACATAATAATTTTGGAAAGCAGTTTATTGAAAAAAGTGCAAAGGCTGATGAACTAGTGTTAATCTTCTTAGGAATAAGCACAATAGAAGTAGAAGAAAAAAACTTAGGCATACAATTACCAGCATAAAAATCCAAAACCGTAGCAAAAAGATCATCCTTAAAAATACTCCATGCTTTTTGAAAAAATTTAGTGGTGAAACCATCAGGGCTAGCCACATAGTTACCATTTATATTAAAAAAAAAAAAATTTTATTCCTCAATAGAAGAGGTACCAACAAGAAGATCATTATCCTCAATAGAGATGAGAGAAGGGAAAATGGGTTGATAATATTACCAGGGATGAACACCTTATTGAGCCTTATCCTGAAAGTGGTTAACAGCCATGTTGACCTTATTTTTGTATGAGGTCACTTGGACTTATCTTGACCTTAATTCAAATCCAAAATCCAGAATTTCTAAACTAAAATCCTAAGTCCAAAAGTCTTTTCCTAAAGGCCTTTTCTAAGGATTTTTCAAACACTTTGAAACCTAGTTAAATGACCTCCGATTCAGAGTCTGTCAGTTGCATACTGATGGGACATGTCTCTGGAGAAAACCCTCCAAATTTGAGCCCATTCTGAGGTCTCTAACCTAAGAAACTTAATAAAAATCCAAAGGCTGTAAAACCTTCAAATATTTACAGCCTATGCCACTGGATTTGCCATTAAGAAGATTCTGACCTTGGAGCCTTCACCAAAGCCTCTAGTCACTTCCAGACCTTTAATCTTGATATGTTGAACATTAAACTGTATTTTTCTGGGCCCACTTTGACCCCCAGTTGACCAGGGGTCAAAATGACCAAAATACCTCTATGGGGTTCAAATATTGATTTTCAACCAAATGAACTCCAAATTGAACGCAACCACTTCCAGCAAGTTTCAAATGTCATTTCAAACCTGTTGGACCCCAGCAAGTTTCAAATGTCATTTCAAATCTGTTGGACCCATTCCTGATCCTTGGGTCAACCTGGTTGACCAAGTCAACAGGTTTGACCCAAAAGGCCCTTTAAGGGTCCGAATAGATGTTTTGAACCAATTGATCTCCCCAGACCCTGGAACCGTACCCAATAGTCTATAAATATCATTTTGAATCTGTTGAACCCATTTCCAAACCCTGGACCTAACCGGTTGACCAAGTCAACCAATTTTGGCTTAAGGGCCCATTAAGGGCCCATTTAAGCCCTCTTGAACCATTTGACCCATTTGAACCATTCGAACTCTTAAACCATTTTCAAAGCATGATTGAAACTCATTCAAATTTATTTGAAGTTGATCCACCTTGATTTGCGTGGAGCCTAGTCTTGCGAGGATAGGCTGGAGTGTTTCTGAAGTGATTCAGAATCTCAAAACACTCCCTACCCTTCTTTCTTTGACTCCAGAAATAACTGTTCAGGCTTGATCCAATCCCGATTGAAAATTCCTACCCTTTTCTTCCTTTGATATCAATCTTTGAAAATCTTAAATAAAATTTTATACCGCTATTTTAATCGAGAGTTTTCGTAAGAAATTTTGATTTCCTACGATGTAATTAACTACGAGGGCTTGCGCTCGTAGGAGATTTAGAAACCCAGATCTAATTTTCAAAAATCAATTTTTTTAAAACCTTCAATTAATTCTCTTTGAGAATTCAAACAAAAATGGCGATCGTTATCTTCATATTAAAATAATCGATAATAGGTAATATCATCTTTCTTTGGGAAGATATATTATTTTATTATAGTTATTTTGATTATGAAATTAACGATCTCTTATCCGAATTATTATAGTTAAATAATTGATTGAACGTCATTTTGATCTTTCGAGGTCATATGCTGTTTCCCCTTGAGTTTTACTACGATAATTCAGATGAATTTAAAATTCTAAAATTTAAACCCATTAGGAAACGATACGATCACCTCCTGAGGTGATATATTGTTCATAATGACGTGTTTAATTTCAAAATTTAAAAATTTAATATTCTTAAAGAAAATTAATACATTTTCAAAAATAAATGATATTTTTTTAATCAAAACAAGCCAACATGGCAATCCCCTCACCATGCCCATTAACAATACCATCCTCACAAGTGATTTTATTGATCGAGTTCAAAGAACGTTTTCGTTTAACCAAGGCATCAAAGTACTTGGTATTATGATCACCTTCCAATAGATGCTTAGCAATAACCTTTTATTTCCAATAGGTTCCTTCTTCGGCATAAAGGTTAAACAGATTAGCCTTAGCCTCTCTAAGGGAAGCAAAATTGGCATCAGAAGGATCGCATAGCAGTTAGTCTCAATAGTGTTGACCATCTCTTCAGCAGCTAAAATATTAGTAAATATATTTTTAAAAATATTATGGTTCCACCAATTTAAAAGTTGCTTAAGTCTTTTTAACTTAAACCAAAGTTTATTCATACCCATAACAGAGTTATCAGGATGCAAACACACATTCCAATTATCTTGAACTACACTTAAAAAGGAATCATGCTGAAGACACATATTTTGAAACCAAAATTGAGGAAAAGCATTGACATGTATAATATTCAGAGCAAGTAATAAGGGAGAGTTATCAAAAAAAGTACGACTAACATGCCCAACATAAATGGAACTAAAGGAATTAATCCATTGATCATTAAATAAAATATGGTCCAACCTTTTCTATAAATGACCTCTTTTCCAGGTAAACTGGTTACCAGAAAAACCAATGTCAATGAGATTACAATCCATAATCATATTATTAAAATCGTCCATATAATGAAAATTAGGAGAGGATCCCCCAGAACGCCCAAAAAATTTAGCCGTAATAATTAAATTAGATATATTAACAAGGGGTTCAAATAAGACAAGAATAGAAATATCATGAATGCGACAAAGATTCTTAACCCGTGAACAAGATGAAGCAGACCCATTGTTCCTAACATTTCAAATAATATAATTAAACATAAAAAATTAAAAATTAATGAGTAGATTATGAATGGGTATTTCTACCCAATTGTAGAACAAGATTTTTACTTTTCCTACCACGTTTACCTTGAACTTTAACAGAGAAAATTTCGTTGTCATCTCTAGTAAAACATTTGGTAGAAAATTTTAATTCCTCATTATCAGTAAGAGCATCATAATCAAGATGAGAATAATAGGGGGACTTACAGTCAATATTCACAGCCTTCTCCATACCCTTAAGAGGAAGCTCACCTTCCTCCAACAATTCTTCTCCTTCAATCACAACATTATTTAAGCCAAGTCCAACATTTTTTGTTTCAACAAATTCCTTTTCACTAGGTCCAAATTATCGTCAATATTAATCCGGGCATTAGAAACAACAACTTCCTAATTAAGATTAGAGCAATGAACATCATCAACATTAACAGGTTTATTAGTATTTAAAGCACAATTCATAATGAATAAAGCATATGTATTATTTAGAGAAGTAGAGTCATTTAACCCTTGATTTTCCACAATGTCATCAACAGTCGGTGACGAAATCATTATAGTAATAATTTCAGGCTGTCCAATAGGAGAAATCTCCAAAGAGGGTGGGTCTGTTAGAGTAGGGGTCGAGTCACTCTGAACATTTAAAGAAACATCAACCACAGTTATTGGCTCATCACCAAACTTCAAATTATTTCCTTCAATCTCAACAAGATGCAAATTATCATAATCAGCTAGATCATCTTTCTATTAAGATTGTTTGCACACTAATTTTTCTTTTCTAAGGTGGAGATGCAACCTAAAACATTCATTAAATCCATGGTCATGCATTTTATAATGAGAATAGAAAATCGGTAAATTCTCAAATTCCACTTTTTGAAAATATGAATTTAGATCTGAACCAAACCACACCTCCCAGGCGCTTCTTCAAAACATCAAGTTCCACAAGAACCCGAGCTACAGATGAGCAAATTATAAAAGTAGTGGCTTGATCAGTTTGTAAGGGTCTTCCAAAACTCGAAGCAAGGCAAAAAAGAATTTGCTAGGTTAAAAAGTGATATATCAAATTAGGAAAAAGAAACCCAAATCGGTGCAATGGGTGATTCTTCCCTCACATCAAATTTTGGCGTCCACTTGAGAATACGCATTTGGCACCCTTGTATATAATATGATTTACGCGCAAAAATACAACTATAATCGTGATCATTCGTCAATTGAATAGCAACATGTAATGGATCTAGCAAACCAACATGAAATGCTCCATACAATTTTAAGCTAACAAAAAACTTACGGATAACATCCAAATTCAGATGTGGCAACAAAAATTAACCAACAAGAGTTAGGGAAAAAGGAACATCCTTTTTTTGAAATTTTATCAACATATCAAGCAATCCTGAGCTTTAAGCACACATTATAGCTTTCCAAATCTGTCTTCGTCTTCCTTGGAGAGATGACCTTAAGCTACTTTATTTGAATGCTCGCAGTCCTGTAATACTTCCACTTTCTTCTCACTTGTCTTATCAACTACGCCATACAGAGCTGAGGGCGGGCATCAAAAATTTTTTTTATCAATTTTTAAACGAGAAAGCTTATGATCATCCAGTCAAAAAGCGCCATACATACAAAAAACCAAGCAATCTACATTTACTCAATTAAGTCTCATTATCATTATATAAAGAAATAAATAAAACAATTAAAGCCCATATAAGAGTCCTCACTTCTTGGAACCCAGCCATTTGTTAGCTTTTCCGTGCACTTCTTAAAAAGCCTCCAGTGTCATAACGATGCAAAAATGTTGAGGATTCAACTACTAGAAACATTTAGCGTTCACTATAGCAAGTACGTCTCCACAACCGTTCTTCCAAACTTCTGCTGAATATCCTTGGGAGTTTCGATCTGCACAAGGACGGGTTCTTCACACCATTAGAAATTTGATACAAACAAAACTGCTCTTAGATTCATGAAAGCGGAATTGCATCATATCTCACAGCATTTAGTGCTATAAAAAGAGCCTTTATGACATTCAGCGGATTTCTTGAGCCAATAATCTGAAAATTGGATCATTAAATTAAGATGTATAACATAAAAATCACCATTACAAAGCAAGTTCTGTATCAGAAATAGGGCCTTCAGGCCATCCATGTTCAGATATGATCAGAATAGATTTTATGGGCATCAAAATAAATGGAATAAAGTCCGTCCTAATTAAATTTTAGTCAAAATATCTTGATCCAAAATTTAACAACGAATTGAATTCATTTGATACACTAACCTTAGACTTCACATTGCAAAAGCCTGCCAAATACAAGACAGTTTCAACCGTTTTGACAGCAGCTGACATCCCGCTTCTCCTTGGACCAGGCCAGAGGTATATCTAAGCAGTTCAAAAACAATTTATGAAAAAAGTGTGATTGTACCATAAAGTACATAAAAGAAGGGGAAGCTAAGATGTACCTTGGTTTTCCCATATTTGGACTGAATAGCATGAGCAATAGTATGTTCTTCATATCGCTCTACATAATGAAGATTCTGGAAACATTTCTCGTATGCCTATATTTCACAAATCAAATCTTTTCAAAATCTGCTTAAGCGCTTAATGTGATTATGACAGCATATAACTTGCCAATCCAACAAAATAAAATAAAATAAAATACCAAGCAGTTCCCACTTCATCCACAACCAAGCATCATATAATCCAGCTAATAACCATAAATAGCTTCTCAAATCCTTCGCCATGGAAGCCCAGTGCAATAAGTGAGTTAGATAACTTTTTATATAGCCACTTTAGTGATTTGACATAGTTGTAACCCAAAATATCATACTTAAATGAAACTTTTTATTTTCAAGAAAATGCGATTAAATTGGTCCATAAACTACCTAGTGCTTTCATTTTGACCCTGAATTTTCTTATTCTTCAATTTGCCAAGAGACATTGCGGGAACCAGAACAGAGACGGTGAAAAATCAAAAGAATCATATTTTGATGATTTGAGCGATCAAATTGAAGAGTAAGAGAATTTTGGTGTTAAAATGAAAACACCCAAAATAGTTGGAGACCGATATTACTCATCATATGTGATACTCGAAAGTAAAAGCCTTTCAAGAGAACATTATCACTTTTGACCAAATTCATTTACTTTGTTTATTGCAGCATGCAAAAGACAGTCGTCAAGCAACCATGCAATAATGTTAAGTTCATATTATGAACACAAATGAAATAGCGCAGTCACTAAAAAAAAAATCTATTTTTCTTCAAAAAAAAAAACATTATGGCCCATCAGTAATTAAGGAATCCTTCTGTTCATGCTATTAGCTACAACCAAGAATACCGTTAGGATTTTAATATTACTATAAGTTAACTACTAGTGATATTAACTTTTCCCCATGAAGCACGGTGCTGCTAGCCACCATAGACGCAACCGAGTTGAGATAGCCTCTGGAGACGCAACAGATTTGAGATTAAGAGGAAATGACTTAACACGCTCAACAGCAAAAATGTGATGTGCACAAAATTAAATATAGCTCTCAATTAGCGTTCAAGCTCTGCCCGTCGCAAGCTTGATGAGCTAGCAAAGATGATAAAAAGCTTATTTTATTTCTTAAATGAGCTTTGAGCCAAAAGGGCGCATGCCCATGTTAAAAAAAAAAATAGCTAATGGGACGTTTGATTAGCTCAAATAGGAATGCAAAATATATCAAATACATGGGATTTAAAAATTTTGATGTATGGTTTAATGAAAAAAAATGCCAAGTAAAATTTTGATGAATTCCATTTTCACTACATTGTTCATTTCTAATGAATTATAAACTCCAACATTTTTATTACAAGTTAACTCCGTTATCACCGTCAGCCACCACCCACCTGCCACCCACAGCCACCTGCCATTCATCATCACCCACGAACAACCGTCGCTACCACTTGCCCCAACTACTACCAACCACCCACCATCGATCGTCTGTCTTTGCTGGCTGCCCACACCTGCCATTGTGATAACGGTTGGATCGGTCCAGCCGACCGTCTGCTGGTCCGCATGCTCCCAATCCCGCCCCCCTTGGGTGGTCCACTGCCTAGGGCTAATTGTTTGAGGGTTGTTTAGTCCTTATATGTTATTTTGTATTTGCTTTAAGTATGAGTTTGTATTAGAGTTAGGGCATCTGATAATTGTGACTGAGTTTAATGTTCTTGGCGCTTGAAGTCTTGGGCTCTAGCCGCATTTAGGTATTGGGAGAGATAGATCCTCCTCTCGAATTGAGGATCAACTATATCTTGATATTTTCCTTTAGTTATCTTTGATTATTGCAATAAAATTGCTGTTTTTTTGTTTTTCCTCAGAGTTTTGTGGATATTCCCCCTGCTTTTTTTTTTCAAGATTGATAGGTCTTCACTTGAGATCTTCAAGTGTTTCCTATCACATTGCTTGCTGCCTTTCACCACTGCCCACTAGCCACCAACAACCACTATCATTGAGCTTTGCACGACACTAATTTTACTTCAAGCTAAACAAAAAAAAAATCTGAATTTCTTTTCCAGCAAACAAAATAACCACTTAATGTTAATTAAGCAAATAACCTACTTATAGACCAAAATGTTGTTCATAGTTCATAAAAATTTATGTCACTTAACATGTTCTAACCTTTTTGAAATCCCAATCACCACATAATCATTATGAATATTAAGATTTTAATTCAATAATTTCTTAAGACAAGCACAATAAAAACCACCACCCTAAACTCCTATAAATAAGAGTTCAAAAGATCAGACATTAATCATTATTGTGCACTGTAAGCCAAAAATAAGAAGCCAAATGGCAGAATATATTATTCATTGTTCTACACTTATAAGCATGCAAAACAAAAAAAACAAATTGTGAAATTATTTTCAAGCATTTGAGCATGAAAAGTAGTGACACAGCACAGATAGCTAATGGGGTTAATCACAAGGAGTCAAAGCACGAATAGGAGTGGACTCAGTGCCAAAATCATGATGAAGAGTTCGTACACTACAATGTTTTTTAGAGTTTGAGAAGTTTTATTTATATAATTTCCTTATTATAAGACTATGCTTGTTTTATTTTCATAAGAATATATGAATATGAAAATTTGAAAATTTAGATCAAATGGAATTTAAATTTTTAAGTTCAAATGGAAATTATCAAATCATGGAAAATTGGATTATGTGCATTTAATATAATTATTAATTATTAATTAATTAGAAATTAATTGCTCTAACAAAAGCCTATAGGGACCAACCAAGGAGAGAAAATTCCCTCAAACTCAAATAAGGGGCTGACCCCCTTCTCTACCTCTTCTTTGTTTATTTCATATTTTGCATTTAGGCTATATAATAGACATTTATATTTGCTTAAACGAAATGATTAATGTGAATGAATATATAATTTGGAGTTCTAATGGTATAGAGGCTTAGTGGCCAATACAAATAAGAGGAGACTTTGTAGTCTTTCTCAACCTACCTCTTTCGTGAGTGATAGTTTATATTTTATTTTTTTACTTTTTTCTTTACTTCTTGCTATGAAAATCTAAATCAACCATCCCTTCATTTCTCTAAAAATTCTATAATTATTTCTACAAAAAACTCTAACATAAATTCATCTTAATGTGGATGGCAAACCCTTATTCAAACATGAGTTAGTTTTGCCCCGCAAGTCTTTCGCTCTATCAAAACCCCTTGAAAATTTAAGATCAACTCTAGATCTAATCAAAACACATCTCTTCTACCGCTCATAAGAATTTTCCCAACATGTTCATAACTCAAACTCCTTCCCCAGAGCCAAAGATTTTCCTTAAGAATGTTGTTTAAATTGAGCTTGGCATGAACTAGTCATAGAATAAAATTTGAAAAACATATATTAAAAAATCTTCAAAAATTATTAATCTTTTTAGGACATAGACATGTCTCTAACATGTTTCCAACTAGTTTCAAATCTTAGAAGCACCTCCACAATTTATATTATAGGCCTAAAGTGAGATTTAGGGTTTTCTATCATGAATGCTATCCTCACATAGCAAAATATCTTATCGACCTTTGTTGAATATCCTCTTCTAAAAAAAATTATTTTTTTATCTTCATCCTTAATACACTTTATTTGACATAAATTTTTACTACTCTTATCTCTTAGTTTGGCTAATTTATACATACATCTTTCATCCGCTTTAGAATCTAATATATTATATAAATCACTAAAAGCTAAAATCTTTGCATCACAGATTGTTTTCTTAGACAACTTACGAAACTCTTTATATGTTTCCCAATTTTTAGAGTTTTTACATCTAAACCAATTATTATAACAAAGCTTCTTATTTTTTATATTTTCTTGCACATTTTAATTTCACCCTCAACTATTTTTATTATTAGGAGCATTTCCTTCTGAAACTTCAATCACATCCTTTGCAACATTCTTAACATTACTAACTACGTTTTTTCACATAACATTTGCTTCTTCAAGCACAGACAAAATCTTAAGATCTATAATCTTACTCTTAAAATATTTTTATTAGTGTTTTTTAAATGTCCTCGTTTAATCTTAGAACAATATTTATTATATTTTCATATTTTATCACTTAATCTTAAATTCCAAAACAAATAAGTCATATTGGGTACATAAACTTTCGCTAGGAATAACTTTAAAATTTTTGTAATCTAAACAATCTATTTTTCATAAAAGAAAAAAATCAATACGAGTTTTGTTATATTAATTCTTATAAGTGATAACATACTCATCTCTTTCTTTAAAAAATAATGGTAATTATAAAATCATAAGCTAGAGCAAAATTTAATATAATTTTATCACCTTCATTAATCACACCAGACCCATAGCCACATTAATGCCTTTAATTCTTCTATCACTCTACCAATATATCTATTTAAATCTCCTCCAATATAAACACTTATTTCAAGAGATATATTTTGAATTAATTATTCTAAATCGCTATATATTGTACAACTATCATATAAACACACCTAAATCATTTCTAGTACGACTTCTACCAGTATATCAAAATTTAAATCCTAAATAATCAATCTCCTTAGCCTTCTCTCTAACCCATTTAGTTTCTTGAATGCATAAAATATTTATCTTCCTATGAATCATACTATAAATTAATTTGCCTGTAAAAGAACCTACATTCCAAAATCTTATCTAAAATCTAATTTCATTGACTAGCCTCTTCGCCTACATCCATCCATGATGTGGGAACCCTTGCTTGTTTAACACTACAACCGAGTACCAATGCGGCAACCCATGTACATTTCTCACTATATTTAGGTCATACAGCATGTCACTTCCAGGAAACGTCATAACATTAACATAATATATTAAACAATTTATGTCATAATTATTCGACAAGTTTTATACTGGATGTCAATTACCTAACGCAATCTTCCACTTTTCTCATCTAGAACTTGGGACCTAATAATGACATTGTTAGATTTGATGCTTCGAAGGATGTTATTAAAGGTATAGTAACACTGGAATGGATTTTAGATAAGTGGATCTAGGATAAATAATAGTGGATCTAGGATAAATAAAAAGA